TCAAATTCGGCAAGTAATTTTATGAGCTCACCACTCACGTTCGGAATTTGGCTTTTGAATTGTCTATACCGGAACTGAATGCCATAGCAAAGCTTTATAAAATTTAGTGATGATCCACAATTTTTGATTTTCACAATCACACACCGTGAGTTACAATCATGGCATTGAAGCGTAACCTTGTATTCACGAGCAGCTGGAGTTTTCTTGTCAGCGAATGCAACAATTAGGTCATCACAAAAGTTTTGTCACGTTCGAAAAAGAAGTTGCCAGTCACAACAATAACAATAATCGCATTTCTTTAGGTGCTCTGCTTATTTTAGCATCATTAAGTTCGTCTTTTATTTTGGTAGCCGATAAGCCATACTTTTATGGAATATGCGCTGTCGCCAGGGTCATAGCTGGTAAGTCGAAATTGGTGCACAGGCGCGAATGTTGGCGCTTGCGTTTTAGATTAATCTGCTTTTCCAACTCTGGGCGTTGGCTTGGCGAACGGTTACGTAGCCATCTTGGAATGTTGAGATACATCAGCATTTATTACTCTTGGGCTGCTACAAAGTTTATTAATGTTTCCCACCACTGAAATTTAGCATGCTTTAAACTATGTCCGTTCACATTGTCTTTAGCATCGACCGACATTGTGTTCTGCTGACGCACTGTCACGAGGTTCAGGATTTTCGTCCGCCATTATCACTAGCACTAACTTCAACTGAAATTACTAATTATAGTCTATTAGCCACGGTACGCGTAGTGATCCCACTTCTGATATAAACTTAAGGGATGTATCATCCCTAATAAAAATGTCTAAACTGCTTTTTAATGGTTTATTTCACGATCAAGTATTCTCAATTACAATGTGGTATTGCCACTGTCTATTAGCGTACTATCACTGCGCTGGTCTGTCTTCTCCCGCTCGTCCATCCTGACACGCATGTGTATGGACTTCAAGAATGTATGGTGGGGAGTATAGAGAAATACCGCTAACATCTATGTGGATATTTTTAAGGCAAAGGATACTGTGTTTACTTTGACAACTTTTTTTTTTGACAAATAATTTATTTTAAAAAATACTTGCCTATGGAACCGTCATACACAAAGGAAACAATTTTCGAAAGATTTATTTATGTGAGAATCAAAAATTAAAATAAGCGAATCGAACACTGTTGCTGCTGATAACATTTCTGTATAAATCGATAAAAACTTATTTGTAAGACATTATAGCACTATGTAAAACATCTATAGGGCCATTTCATAACAAAAAATAGATATAAGATCATCTTATTATTTATTTATCAATGCTATCTTTCTACAACTGAGTAATTCTAAATGTCCCTTTATGCATAATTTATAATATATTTTTGTTTAAATAATTGACAGTTAGGTACTTAATGAAAAAAAAAAAAAAAAAAATTAAATTTTGGCACTGTTTTTCCAATTTCTGCACCATCAAGTAATACATCTTAATATTTTGCAAATATATTTAAAAGAAAAGTTTTGTCACTTAAAAGAGTTTTAATGTCCCTAAATTGGGAATCATAATCTGTTATTATCATTGAAACCGCTATGGTTTCGGCATGCTAAACAATATACGATTGAATTGAAGGGGTATGTAACTTACGGTTGATCAGCTTCTGATTTTTTTTTCTGTTTCTTATATTTACCCCTACTCTTACTGTTACTATTTTTTCTCACTTGATGTTGATGAACGATAAAGGCGACTGATATCGTTTTCTCCTTTTGGAAAAATCCGCCAACAGTCGAACGGGCTATTTTTTTTATTTTTTTTTTTTTTAACGATTTTGGACCTTCTGAAACACATTTCAAAATACTTTTTTTGCCCTGCAAACGCTATAAAATATTTTTTTCTTACCTTAAAACTATTAAAATGTGTCCTCCAATTTCGATGTTGAAAAAATTTAAACTACATCATTTTGATTAATTTCTTGTTATAGAAACTGCTAAATAATAACACTAGATCATCCATAATGCAATAAACCATCCAAATTTTTTCGTAAATAGTATTATTTTCTTAATTTACGACCAATTTTAAGTTCGTCAAAATGATCAAATTTTCATAACCGCAATGACAATTAACATTGGCAGTGTGACATGTGTCTAAAAGAAATACAATGTTGCCATATCAATTATGTATTACATAGCAATGGTAATTTTTACCTATGCCCTGCGTTGTACCTGGCCAACCAATTGACTTCAGTATTAGAAAAATTATATAAAACTAACAATTTAAAAAATACCCATATCAAGATCTTCTTCCTCACCCTCATCGGCAGAATACTCTTCGACGTCAATATTGATATTTTCTAAATTGCAAGGATTATACAATTTTCCCGCCAGTTTCAAAAAACTCTTCAACTAACCGAACCTAACCAACCCTCATTAGCGTCTGGCCCGTAAACCTCGATCCCAACTTTTAACGAACGTGTCTTGTATCGTGGGCATCTAATAGTAAGAAAATATACAATAAGAAAATGAAGGAACGACTTCTTGTAAGGTGGCGGCTTCGCCGCCACCAGAAAATTTTAAACCCATACCTGGCTACGCCGACCGGCATAAACTCCAACGGCCTGGACACAGCTCAAATTGAAAAACCTAACCTAACCAACCCTCATTAGCGTCTGACCAGTGAACCTCGATCCCAACTTTTAACGAACGTGTCTTGTATCATGGGCATCTAATAATAAGAAAATATGCAATAAGAAAATGAAGGAACGACTTCTTGTAAGGTGGCGGCTTCGCCGCCACCAGAAAATTTTTAAATCATACCTGGCTACGCCTACCGGCATAAACTCCAACGGCCTGGACACAGCTCAAATTGAAAAAAAAACCTAACCTAACCAACCCTCATTAGCGTCTGGCCAGTGAACCTCGATCTTAACTTTTAACGAACGTGTCTTGTATCGTGGGCATCTAATAATAAGAAAATATACAATAAAAAAATGAAGGAACGACTTCTTGTAATAAAATTTTAAAATTTTAAAACCATACCTGGCTACGCCGACCGGCATAAACTCCAACGGCCTGGACACAGCTCAAATTGAAAAACCTAACCTAACCAACCCTCATTAGCGTCTGACCAGTGAACCTCGATCCCAACTTTTAACGAACGTGTCTTGTATCGTGGGCATCTAATAATAAGAAAAAATACAATAAGAAAATGAAGGAACGACTTCTTGTAAGGTGGCGGCTTCGCCGCCACCAGAAAAATTTTAAACCATACCTGGCTACGCCGACCGGCATAAACTCCAACGGCCTGGACCCAGCTCAAATTGAAAAAAAAATTATTTTAAATATTAGATAAGTACCGACATGCCGTAATTAACGTACAATCATCATGAAATGAAATAAAAAGACGGTTGTCTGTGATTACTACAAATGTTTTCACTTCGAGATCCAAATTTACCTGCTGGTCGGACACTATGTAATTTTTCAGCCAACTTTCACTAACCGAATTATTTCCTGACTTATATGTTTTCTTACTCGATTTGGCAACACCGCAATTATAGAAACTAGACACATCAATTGTCATTAAAAATAATTTAATGTTTATTTATTTTTCTAACAAACTTAAAATGAAAAATAAGAAAATTTGATCGTTTATGAAAAAATTTGGTACGGTTTATTGCTCTATGAATGGTCTTATATTGATATTTAGCCGTTTCTACAACAAGAAATCAGTGAAAATGGTTTATTTCACATTTGTTTTATGATGGAGACCGGACAACAAATTTTAAGGATTTTCAGGATTTTAAGGTAAAATTTTTTTTTTTAAATAAGTGTTAGCGGACCCAAAATTGTTATGCATAGTGTGTTTCCAAGTGTCTAGAAACTCTTTATAACATTTCAATAGTTATATCCGCCGTTCGAGTGTCGGCGTATAATACCCTCCTTTTTTGTACCATGTCGAGAAAAAAAATTGCACGAAACACCACAGCCCTTGTCTCTCAACACTCTTTTTTCTTTATCAACCACTTCTGATGTCGTCTGTGTCCCCTTGACACAGAAATAAAGCAATAATTGTAGTAAATAACGTCTATTACGGGTATAATCAAAACTAAATTACAAATTATTGTAGTTAACAGTTCGGTAGCTATATTCTATCTGTCGATGAGCATCGTAAGTAAAAACGGACTGGCCGAAGTCACGTGTAATATATACCGGACGGACTGTCAGACTGCAATTGTTAATTCATTGTTTGTTATTAGTTAAGAATAATCGGGCTCTAGCGGAAGAACAGACATTTTAGTTCAAAAGACTTAAATGCACTGAGCTAAATGCCATTTACTCAATGTTTCGTGTATAATTTATTTGTTATGTTTATATAATACTATTGAGTAGTAAAGGTATTTATTATTATTATTAATATTATTTAGAATTCAATGAGCACAAATTTCCAAAAACTGATTTTTCTCTAAATTTATTCATTATTTTATAGTCAAAGTTTATTCGTTTTTATTTCAAAAAACTACTTCTACATAAGATAAACATAATATTGAACTTTTTTAGCCTTATGCATGGATGTACAGGTTCACAATTTCGAGATAATAAGTCGCAATTGCGAGATAATTATTCACAATTGAGGAATCCAATGCAATAACCGGGCAAGTCCAGAAAGTTAAAATGTTGAGAAAATAGGAAAAACTGCTCTTTCACAAAATTCGACTTGATTGCTTTTTTCATTGCATACAAAATGTTAGGGTGGATTTGAAAAAACGTTCTTTATAGTTTTTGGTTTAAAAGTTTAATTTTTTAAAAAAATATGGGAAAAAATTGATGGACTACGTAAAAAAAAATATGTATTTAAATTCAATAAAGGAAAAAAACGGCATTTTGAGATAAAAGTAAAACACAAGAATATTTTTACAACCTGTTTTATATTATTTTTACTAAATTCGTTAAAAAACAATCTACTCATCGCTGCTGAATTCCAACACTGATGTCACAAGATTCTCTTCCTGGAAAGTTTGGTGAATATTTTCTATCTCCTGGTAGAACCAAATGTCGCACTGTGATACGTAATCTTTAGCTAAGCTCATCACGTGCTGAAATTTCTTTGGTTTTAATTTTCTTCTTCCTGGGTACAAATATTGATCATTAGTTGGAAGCGATGAGGCATCTAAGACTTTTTTGTTTTTGATGTCAAATTTGCAAAAAATTGTTGCATCCTGTTTTTCGTAATGAATTATTCTGTATTTTGATATGGTAAATTTATTATTTTTCTTTGAGGGATTTAACACAAAGGATGATTTCAAGTGATCTTTAAAGTTCAGTAACATGTCTTGAGTTACCTTTTGACCAAAAAATGTTTGCTGGAACCCTGAATGATGTTTATGTAGTCACGAGGCAAATACATTTTGTCGTGTTTCTTTTTTTGTAGCTCTATCAATCCAAAACTTCGATCACCCAGCAGGAAACTATGACCCGGTTCGGGATATCTGTGGTGAATTTTTGTAAATCTGCCAGTATCAACCAAGGTATAAAAAAACTGAAGCAGCATGTAGTTTTTGTTCTGAGATGAGCAGTTACCGGAAAAAATATATAAATCAGTTACCTCAGAACTCAAATAAGTATTAACAAAGTATAACAGAAGACTTGCTACTTCATTCTGTCCTTTTCCGCCCACTGTCTCGTCATAAACATAAAAGTAGCTTTTCTTAATACTTCCAACGTGTACACAAAAATTAAAAAGCCAAAGTTGTATTTTGTAAAAAACATCTCTGTTGGAAGAGACAAGTAACGGCATATTTTGCTGGTAGTCGAACGTTAAAACCTCCTTTGTTGGATCATCCTTAGAGATTTGTGTAAAAATCTTCAAATCGGAATAAAAAGTTTCAGACTTTCTGAGATGAATAGAATTTTATTGTTACAATGCCAATCTCTCAGCTTCAGAATCTGCTGCGGAAATTTTACTTATTAACTTGTCGCATTTTTGACAAGTATCCGATTTTGGCCTGCCAAAACTTAAAATTATCTGCAAAATATTTTCTAAAAAACTTGTACTTTACGAGATTCGTATTTCTTTAGGTATAAATCATAGATTTTAGAGACATTTGATATAGGTGACAGATAGTAATGATGCAAGTTGTCTTTTCTACTATAGTGCGATCTGTACCTTGGGAAACTTAGTATATGTTCTCGAACTTGAGCGATAATATCATCAGGTATTTTGTTTGGCCTGTTTGCATGTTTCACCCTGTGAGCAGTCGGAGCTGTGACATTTCCATTGGCTAAATATTTCTGCAATCTCTCGAGCCTACTTTTTGTGATCTTATGAATTGATAGAAACGCTTTTTGACAAATTTTGTGTTCTTTACCAAGTGCATGAACCTAAAACAAACAAGAATATTGGGTATTTAATAAAGAAAAACCTTAGAATGGTTTGTGTATTTCTTGCAGGTACCTTGTAAGAAAAGGTTGAGGCTTTTGTTTTTCCTTCTCCTGATCGTGGTCTCTGGCGCACCTTTTTATCAATCCATAAAGGTAAGAATCTTGAAGATCTTTAATGGAAATCGAATAAAAATCAGAAAATATTCTCTTGCAGCATTCTTCGCTAACATTTTCAAAACATCGGTTTTTGCAGTTACAGTTTGGTCCCATTTCGAGTTTTTGTAGGTTGAGCACGAAGTTCTGGCAACTTTTAAAACAATGGAACTTTAAATATGGTAAAAGTTTAAACAGAAATAATACTTTCAAAAAACATTTGATATTATATATTTAAAAGTTATTTTTGTTTAACGATGTTTTAGAAGTCTAAAAGTAAGAAGGAGTATACAAACCAACGTACATCACTTCTCGTAAACCTTCTAACCGGCAACGTTGTGGCGCTAGCTCCTATTGGTCTATTCCCTATTGAACATGCCCCATTGCGAGATAGTAACGCATAATTGCGAGATAATAAGTGGCAATTGTGAGATAATAGGTCACAAATGCGAGAAAGTAACTCATAATTACGAGATAATAAGTTGTAATTGTGAAAGAATACAACAATTGCGAGATAATATCTCGCAATTACCAGATGATATTTTTTATATATGAAAAAGTGGCCCCAGAAAGCTTTCGTATCTTTTTGTGATCTTGCAAATTTGAATAAGCATTTTCCCAGGTCTACCGAATTCAACATAAAATTTGAAATGTTAATTTTACTTCGACTGCAAAAATTTTAAAAATAATAATTATTCCTAATTTTGTCTATTTGCCGACGTCGTGGGATGTTTACAAAATGATTAGCATATATTTGCCATCAATATTTGCCGAACAATTTTTATATAACAAAAAAAATCTTGTAAATTAAAAAATGCATCATGTCATCATCGGAGAGAGTTGCAAATTTTCACAGGTATTTAAGGCGATATTAGCGAGTACCTATAGGGGAAAGACGGGCAATATGGGGTACCTAAACTTTTAAAGTTAATAAAAAACCAACAAGCAGGCTTGTAGAAACAACGTATATTTTTTTGTCAAGTATAAACTTTAAAAAAACAAAAGGATAAACTGTTTTTCTTAAATTGTTAAACGCTTAGTTACAAATACAAAAAAATGTCAAAACTGTAAATTAAACCATTTTGCCCGCCCGGGAGGGCAAAATGGGGTGTCGATAATTTTAACTGAAAAATAACTATTTAACTGAAAAATTCACATATTAATGTGGCCTCGCTGTCTTCGTCGTCAACTCCGGCGCATGAATTGTGTGCCCACCGTAAACACATGGAACAAGCGATCCATCCTTCGGAAGATATGGAATAAAGGTCTCCACAATAAAGGCATTCTGCATCACTATCATGACTAACTTCGCTGTCACTTGAATCATCTTTTGCAATAAGTTTTGATTTTTTTTTGCTTCCTTTCTTAGTCTTCTTTGAGCCGCCTGGATCTTCTATTTTTCTTTTCACAGCTATCTGCCTTAATGTTTTCTTATTCTTGGCTTCAACCGACTCTTCAAGTTCATCCTTGTAAGGCGTGGAGGTCAAAATAACAATTTTACCTTTTTTTCGTCTCACTCGTTTCACAGTCTGACGAGTCTGGGGAATCGGAATGATAGCTGTTGGACTGGAAAGTGAAAAGGAAGAATCATTCATTCTCGATGTGCTTGGTTGGGGTTCGATGGCGAAATTGGTCTCAATTTTCTCCGGTGTTTTTTCGCCTATAGGAATGGTAGCTTTTGAAGTTAAAAAGATGGGAGAAGTGTTATTGTCTGATCTGTGCTGTTCAATTGCAGTGCAAGAATTATTATTGGAGTTCCCTTTTCGGACATCACTAATATTATTTGACGGTTCAGCTTGACAGTCAACAGCGCTTTCATCTTCAACTTCGGTGGCAACCGATGGTAAAAAATCGGCGTCAGAAAAAACACTTGCATTCACAGGCCATATCCCAGTTTTTCTGAAACCATTTATGGCAGTTGGCATGGTAGCTTCTCTTATGAAAGCAGCGCTAAATAATGTAGACAGCTGGTGCAAGGTAGCTACCCGGCCAGGGTTGGTCCTAAGCCACCTTCGTACTTCGTCTTCAAAATAAACGCCTAAAGGTTTCATGAATGATACATCCAATGGCTGCAGGCGATGGGTAGAATGAGGCGGGAGACACAAAAGAACTACGCCATTATCTCTGGTATAATTTACCAGGTTCAAGTTTTTGGTATGTGAAGAGTGTCCGTCTAAAAGTAGAAGCACGGGAAGCCTTGGAAAATTCAACAAATTTTTTAAACCATTTAAAAAATATTTCCATGTCTATCCAACCCTTTTGATTTAACTCTACCCAGGCTCCAGGAACTAATCCATCCAAAAATCCTTGCTGCATTTTCTTGCGCGGATAAATCAACAAGGGAGGCATGTAAGAACCTGACGCAGAGAAACATATTTCTGCAGTTACTAATTCGCCTCTCTCTGCTGATGGCAAAGCCCCTACTTGACGTTTACCTTTGATTGCAATAATTTTAGAAGCACTTTTGGGAACCACTGTAATCCCAGTTTCATCGACATTGTATATTTGCTGTGCTGTAAAATGATATTTTTCGACCAATTCTTCAAGGAGGGTGAAAAATTTCGAGACGGCAATCTCGTTGAATCCTCTTGGGCGCATTCCTGACGTAGCTTCTGGTTTTCGAATTGATAATTCCGGATGTCTTCTCAAGAAGCCCTGCATCTAACCTTTTCCTGCCATTTGAGAAGTTTTACTGAAAGGATGATTAATATTGTTCAACTCGGCTAACTGAAAGGCGAGCTTTCTGCATTCAGTCATGGTTAATCCAAATAATCGACCCTCCATATCTCTCAAATAGCTTGCAATTTCTTCTTCCTGTCGCGGTAGAAAAACGGTTTTATATCTACCCAAAGTTGTTGAAAGATTTTCCTCATTTGGATTACTTCTTCGTTTTTTGACGTATCGTTCCAAAGTGGTTTGCGGAACATTAAATTGGCTAGATGCACGATGGTGTCCCATTTCACCTCTAACTACAGCGTTAACGGCCTCCTCCATACTTAGATTAGACCAACCCTGTCTATTGGTGGACCGTTTGTCCTTATACACCATCCGAAACAATAAAAACATTATATTATGAGGATTACAATAACAGGGAGAAAATGATAGTAGGGCAAAATGGGGTACCCCATTTTAGCATACCCCATTTTGCCCGGTATGCAGACTTTTACAATAATTAAGAAATAAAAATGAAAAACCTTACATATGTTTAACAAAAGTTATGATAAATAAGCCTAAAATAGTGTACTTTACGAATATTATCACAAAATTTCAAAAAAATTCATGAACAGGAACTTGCCTTGCTTAAAATGGCCGGCCAAAGTTGTATTTCACTTCCGCAGATCCCTTTGTACTGGTGGCTGAAAACTAAAATTATGGCTGGGACCGTTAAAAATGCTATTACCCCAATGACGAATAGATGTCGCTAGTGGTATAGTTTTAAATGCGAAAACCCGTTTTGCCCGTCTACCCCGTCTTGCCCCTACTGTCATTTTGCATGAATGTTAAAATGAATTTACCGAAGTTTGACAAAGTTAATTTATTACTTAACTTATTTATATCAGACAATTATTTACAAGTCGGTCAACTTCAACTCTGCGGTCAATTACAACCGAAAATTGTAAAAAAAAAAAAATTTCAAAAAGTGACTAAAAAGTATTTTTCTTAGCAGTTTTTTTTAAATTGATTGTTTTAATTATTATAATATTTTACTGAAATAAGAATAAACTGGCAATAATTTAATGTTTCTAAATTTTCCAGATAAAATTTAACTTGAAACCATTTTTCCTTAATTGGGTATATCGTGGATTTAACTTTCTTTGAATATATTTAAAATTTTCTTTGATTTAAAAATTACTTTTCAGATATACGTAAATTTAATTCAATAATAATAAATATCAGAAACCACAAGGATTTTTTTAATTTTTTTGTTCAAATTCGCCCAGCGGTACTTAATCTTACAACGAAGATTAAATTTTTCATTTGCTTACTGGCCTATAGTTTATATGTTGAGTAGTTAATCAATTTTTAACATAAGAATAAAGAAAATTCTAAATCATTTACCATAAATTAAATATTTTTTAAAGATTTTTGTGATTAGATCGACTAGTTTCGGCTATTGTGGGTCAGCATCAGGCCTCCAAAGAAAAGGCTTTTTAGATTCAGTTCAAATAGATGAAATAAAGAGTTTGTTACCTAATAATTAATGACTTTTTCATATACTTCTGTTTTTGAAACCAACGCTGTCTTCTAAAAACTTCTAAATTTTGTACACAAAATTAATAAAAAATGTGGTAGGTAAAAACTGTTATATCTATATTCAGTGTGGAACAGCCAATTGGAATAAATTCGGAAACATCGATTGGTATTTTTAATTGAGCATTTTTTTTACCAAAAACTTTTAAATGCTACACCTTGTATATTTTTCAATTTT